TATGAGTGTAAAGCAGGAAATTACTTTGACTGATGTATCTCAGCAGGTGATGAGAGACAAAAAACAAATCAGAGAGCCAGTAGACTTACAGAAAAAGAAGAAGTGGAAATAATGTTCTCCTGCAAAAATCCTTACAATAAATGAGGATGGATCACTTGGTTTGAAAGCCCCTAAATCTCACATTTGTGAGCACGGCAATGCTGCCTTTAGAACGAACTATCAGTTACGGAGACATGTCTTCATTCATACAGGTGAAAAACCATTTCAATGTAGTCAATGTGACATGTGTTTTATACAGAAGAACCCGCTACAGAGACATGAGAAGATTCACACTGGTGAAAAACCATTTCACTGTGATGAATGTGGTATGAGATTCATATGAAAGTATCATATGGAAAGGCATAATAGAACTCATAGTGGAGAAAAACCTTACCAGTGTGAATACTGTTTACAGTATTTTTCCAGAATAGATCGTGTATTGAAACATAAATGTATGCACCATGAAAACCATGACAAAAATATTAAAGAGATGTGCCATCAAAGGTGGCCTTCTGACATCTGAGGAAGATTCTGGCTTTTCTACATCACCAAAAGATTACTCACTGCCAAAAAAGAAAAGGCAGAAAGCTGAAAAGAAATCATCTGAAATCTACAAAGAGAGTTCTTTGGACAAGTCTGACCTGAAAAAACACAAAAATGATTACTTGCCTCTTTATTCTTCGAGTACTAAAGTAAAAGATGAGTATATGGTAGCAGAATATGCTGTTGAAATGCCACATTCTTCAGTTCGAGGATCTCATCTAGAAGATGCATCAGGAGAAATACACCCACCGAAGTTGGTTCTCAAAAAAATTAATAGTAAGAGAAGTCTGAAACAGCCACTGAAGCAAAATCAAACCATTTCACCCTTACCTATATATGAAAAGAGCAAAGTTTCAAAGTATGCATTTGAGCTTGTGGATAAACAAGCTTTACTCGACTCAAAAGGCAATGCTGACATTGATCAAGCTGATAACTTGCAAGAGGGGCCCAGTAAACCTGTACACAGTAGTACTAATTACAATGATGCCATGCAGTTTCTGAAGAAGAAGAGGTATCTTCAAGCAGCAAGTAACAACAGCAGAGAGTATGCACTGAATGTGGGTACATAGCTTCCCAGCCTTCTGTAACACAAGCAGTTGTGGCAAGTGTTATTGATGAAAGCAGCACAGTATCCATACTAGATTCACAGCCACTGAATTTGGAGATTAAGAGTAATCACGACAAAAATGTTATTCCAGATGAGGTACTGCAGACTCTGTTGGATCATTATTCTCATAAAGCTAGTGGACAGCACGAGATTTCCTTCAGTGTTGCAGACACTGAAGTGACATCTAGCATATCAATAAATTCTTCAGAAGTACCCGAGGTCAACCCATCAGGTAATGTTGGATCAAGCTCCCAAGCATCCTCGTCAGATAAAGTCAACATGTTACAAGAACACTCTAAGTTTCTGCAACAAGCTTTGGACAGAACTAACCAAAACAATGCCTATTTGAATAGCCTGAGCCTTAACCTTGTGACTGATAACCAGACCCTTCCAAATCAGCCAGCGTTCTCTTCCATAGACAAACAAGTCTATGCAGCCATGCCTCTCAATAGCTTTCAATCAGGAATGAATTCTCCACCTAGTACAACTCCAGATAAGTCCCACTTTGGACTAATAGTTGGTGATTCACAGCCCTCATTTCCCTTTTCAGGTGGTGCGACAAACCATGCTTCTGCCACATCCACACAGGACTTCATGGATCAAGTGACTTCTCAGAAGAAAGCTGAGGCTCAGCCTGTCCACCAAGCTTACCAAATGAGCTCGTTTGAACAGCCCTTCTGTGCTCCATATCATGGATCTAGAGCTGGAATAGCTACTCAGTTTAGCACTGCCAAAGGACAAGTGAACCTGCGGGACCAGGGATAAGTGCTGAATTTTCAGAATTTCCCTTGGTGAATGTAAATGATAACAGATCTGGGATGATATCTTTACCAGATGCCTCAACTGGCTAGACTTTTGGCTAAAAAAAAAAAGTGTAAATAATACTGGCACTTTAGAACAGATTAATCAAGAGTGGGGTTACTCTGTGTAAAATGGAGTGCTATACAGATTTAAGAGCAATGCATTCTAACAAGTTAAGCTGATACGAATAGCAAGATAATCCAGTAACTGCATTTTGTTTGGTTAGTCAGCATTCTTTGAACTGCCTTACATGTTGTCACCTTTCTAGAAGCAATGCATTACTTGTTTTAGATCAGAAACTTGCTATTCCACCTACACAAGTTAAAAAGGAAAAAAGAAAAGACTTTCCCACAATCGTTTCCTAACTGATAACATTGTACATTCTTACGAGATTAGTAATCGTGTGAAACTTACTCATACTGTTTCTAAGTTTTTCAGCATAATCATTGCACTTTAGCAGGGAATCTGATTATACTTTACAGAGTGAATTTAAAAGTTTAAATGTCAAGAGATTATGGCTTAAATTAGTTTGTCCTATAGGGGGAAAAAGAAACCAAGAAACCACTTTCTAAAAAGAATGATATGCCATATACCCTTGATTTTCATCTTGTATTATATTGACATGTGTTGTTTTGAAGAAAAAAGGGTAATAAAAATCTGATAGTCTAAGACTCCACTATTTAAAAGCCTAATTACTTTTAAAATATGCATACTTTCAAAACTTTTACCAAAATACACAACTGTCAAAGCAGTCTCTGCAAAAGTATGTGTATTGGTGTCAGTTTCTTTGTACAGGTGTACCTAGATTTTTTAAAATGATTTTTCATGTGCAAGTACAAGGTTTTGAAGTTTCAGTAAAAAATATTCTATAGATTACATTCCCAAGAACAGAATGCTTACACAAAATGTATATTCCACATTTTAAAGCTTAATTGTATTTTACTTTTACATATACACTTCAGTTAATATAGAACACTTAGAATCTATGTGGTAGTTTTGACTTCTCAAAGTTAAAAAATTTAGATTTTTAGGTTTGATATGGTTGTGTCATAATCATCTCATAATTGACAATTTTAATTTTTGGCAACAAAAAGAAATTGAAGTATCTTTGAAACTGTAAAAAAAAAAGTTAAAAAGCTTCTTCACAGCAAAGAAAACAACCAACACAGTGAAAAAGAGCCTACAGAATGGGAAAAAATTTTTGCTAGCCACTCATCTGACATAGGACTAATGCCTAGAATTTATAAAGAACTCAAAATAAAGATCCCCCCAAATAAAAGATCTAATCAAAAAATGGGCAACTAACATGAATAGTCACTTTTCAGAAAATGCAAATTAAAGTAATATTGAATTTCTATCTTACTCCAGAAAGAATGGCTATCATAAAAAACATCAAACAATAACAAGTGCTGGCAAGACTTCTGAGAAAAAGGCATCCTTTGCATTGCTGATGAAATGTAAACTGGCAGTATGAAGATTCCTAAAAATACTAAAACTAGAAGTTCCATTCCCCCCTGCTATTCCCCTTCTAGAAATCTTCCCAAAAGAGTAAAAGACATCATACCACAATGATGCATGCATACCCACTTTTACAGTAGCACAATTCATCATAGCCAAATCTTGGAAGTAGCCTATATATCCATCAATAGATAAATGGATAAAGAAAATGCAGTATTTATACACGATGGCGTACTAATCTTCTAGAAAGAAGAATAAATTTGAATCATTTGTAGGAAAATAGATGCATCTTAAGATCATAATGTTAAAGTGAAATAAAGCAGACACACAAACTTTGATATTGCATGGTTTCTCTTATATGAGAAAACCAAAGTATAAATAATTAAGAAAAACCCCAAAAGATAGGTAATGGGAAACAGGGAGATAAATCTTTTGCAAATGTGATGAGAATGTAGAAATGAAGGGGGAGGGAAAGGAAGGGAAGAGAAATACAAAGAATTAAGATATATTAAGTAGATGTACTTAACTCCTTAAGATGAATATAAACATTATGTGCTCTAAACATGTACTAAGAAAAAAAATAAACATAAAAAACAAAAAGTTTATAAAATACCTTTCCCTTCTTACATTAAAGAAACCAACTTGGACATGTTGCCTGCCATATCATGAGAAACAGAAATTCAAAACATGCTTTTTTTCAGACCACTGGAACTTTGGTAAATGCACTGTGGTTGCATCATAGGCTCTGAATAGCTAGGAAGGAATTAGTAAGGCTGCAGGAGCTTGGGAATTTTAGAAGAAAAAGCTCACCATATTCTACCTCTCCCCAGTTTTTATTAGTTATACGTTATGTGGCAATTCTCAAATAACCCTAGTAGGTAAGTACCATTGTTATTTCCAATTTACAGATGAAGAAACTGAGGCACAGAATGATACAGTAACTTAGTCAAGATCACACAGCCAGTAAGTGATGGACCTGTGATTGAGGCTCAGGCAGCTGACACCAGGGTCCTTTATTGTAACATTATACTTTGTCCTGTCACAAAAGCAGTAGAGCAATCTGGCTGAAATGGAAGTCAATGATAGTTGAGAGACCTCTGGTCAGTTTTTTTTATCAAAAACCCAGCATGATTCATACTTGTTCTCATGTATCTTTTAGATAGGTTTTAAATGTACATAAAACATTTTGGAACTAAACAACAGTGGTAAATTAGTCTGTTGCTCTTGTTTGAAGATCAGGTCTACTGCTGAATCAGTGTTATGGATTCTAGGCCCTGTGTTCATTCCAGGGACCCTCCCACCTACAACTAGTAACAGTTATCAAGCATCTTGTATGTGTCAGCCACTGTTTTATTGTTACATGCACTGTAACTTCCGCAAAATTATACTAAATAGTGTTGCAACTCAGATTCAAATCAAGGTCTTTGATTTTCAGCTTACCCATGAAACTCTACAGCCTTCCAACTACCTATAGATCTAAAGGAATTCTGTATAGTATCATCCCTTGGGGCCTTAGAAAATCTCAAACATTTTTTGGGCTTGATTCCTACAGATGCTGGGATCTTAAAAGTGGGGCTTGCATACGAATCTTCTATGGCCACCAGGGGACAGTCACTTGCATGGATTTATATAAAAAATGCTTGTATCTGGAGGAAGAGATGCCCAGGTGAAAGGTGAGAAAGAACTGCCTTAAATTTGTACTTAGGGTTCACCTTGTATAAATAGAACCCGAGGCTCCATTCTCTAATTCCAGTGCTGCTTTCCACTCCTGTGAACTTGAGCATGTTTCTGAACTCTGTGGCTCAGTTTTCTCATTTTTATAGTGGTGAATAATAATACTACTTACCTCATAAAGATGATGAAATGTATGTTCAGCTCTTTGAATGGTTCCTTACTTATTGATAGTGCTTTGCAAATCTCAGCTATGGTTATAATTTTGTTTTGGGCTCTTTGTTCTCTTGTCTGAGGACAAAGGTACCATGGGGGCTGATGAAGCAGACTTTAAAGTTTTCATCCCTGAATTTGCAGTTCCCACTTTAGCCTCTTTCTTCTATCTCTGTTCTCACACACTCATCCCCTTTCATCATCACCCAACACCACAGTATGCTAGGGCAGGTGCTCTAAGTCTGTGTAGAAGCAGCATTAAGTCCGCTCCTACCTAGCTGTGGCACCATCTCCATAAAACCCAAAATTCAGATGTAGAAATATTTAAAAATGTGAGGACAATTTTCTTATCTTTTTTAATATTTAGGTATGGGTCAGGGAGACAGTATCTGGGAGGGATGATGACACTAAACATATGTCATGATTTTCATGAAATCTGCTCAATGGCAAGCATTTTCAAGGCCTGAAGAGTAGATTTATTGGGACTAAGTATCTAGTACTTTGGACCAAGGCTTATTTTCAGGGTCAGAGCCAAGGTCCTGTGCATTGCCTCTCCTGGTCATGGAGCTCTGTAGTGCAGGTATGTGGTGCAGCCTGGCCAGGTGAAGATCCCTTGGGGTCTGACTCAATGGGCTCAGCTAGTTTTGGCTTTTGTAATGGGGAGCAGAATTCTACTGTAACCTTCCCACACCTCCTTCTTTCTTCCTTTCCCTCTCTTTGCCCCCTTCAGAATGGGATGTAGAGACAGGGAAGTGCCTGAAGACCTTTAAACACAAAGACCCCATCTTGGCCACCAGGATCAATGACACCTACATTGTGAGCAGCTGTGAGCGAGGGACAGTCAAAGTGTGGCACATTGCCACGGCTCAGCTAGTGAAAGTAAGCGGGCAGTAGGCTGGCCGTGAGGGTTTGGGCTTCCTCTTAAAGGAGACGTGGTTCCCCCGAGTAGCTGCCCAGACTATCCTGGAGTAATTGGGTCACAGGCACGATAAGGATGGTCCTGAAGCACCAAAGGGAAAGGTTCCTATGGGGGACATTCTGAGCTGGTACAGGGTCAGGAGCTCTCCTGCCCACATTGTGACTCACATTGCCATAAGGCTGGTGGAGGAAGGCTGCTTCTGTAAGTAACTCTACAAGCTTTCTTCTGTAACAAAACCACTCCTTCAGGACGATACGTGGGCCTCAGGGCCTTTTAATAGCAACAAGGGTAAAATTCCCCTTTCCCCCAGAGTATTTTACCCTGACTCTGGCATGAACTAAGGGGATGAACAAAACTCTTTGTCCCTCCTTACTCTTTTAGTAAGGTGAAAACATTAGGGGATGAGCAAATAATATTTTTCCTCCTTACTCTCTCAGGAGGAGAGAACACTGGCTGTCTTGAAAGTGACTGGAAGTTTTTTTCTATTGCTATAATAAAATGCGCAACACTTGGCAATTTATGAAGAATAGAAGTTTATGTGGCTCACCAGGCATGGTTGTGCACACCTATAATCCCAGCAGTTGCGAGGTTGAGGCAGGAGGATCACTACTAGTTCAAGATCAGCCTAGGCTACCTAGTGAGTTCAAGGCCAGTTTGAACTACATACTGAGACCCTGTCTCACAAAACAAAACAAAAAGCTGATCTGACTCATTCTAGAGGCTGAGATATATAAAAAAGCATGGTGTTGGCATCTGCTTGTCATCCTGTTGAAGGTCTTCCTGCTAGGTCATGTCATGGTGCAGGGCCTCACTTCGGGAGACAGAGCAATCATGTCAGAGAAAGCTCTCTTCTATAGCAAAGCCACTCCCATAGCAATCCATTAATCTATAAATAAAGTCATTCATCAAGGCAGAGCTTTGTGGTGCAATCACTTCCTAAAGGCTCCACCACACTTGCAAATACACAAACTTTTGAGATTAAGTTTCCAACACATGAGTTCCAAAGGACACACCCAAACCATAGCAAATGTTCAGAGATTGTGTTCTTCCTGGATTTGGACCTGGATTTGGCCTTGGTGGGTCATAGTTTGATATTATTTGTGCCAAGAATACAGGTTTACAGAGAAAAGTGGCTGACTTGGTTTGTGGGACTTTCCTCACCAATCTTGTTTTTGTGATTGAACCTCATTTGCAGGGACAGGTATGTCCCCATGCTCCCTGGATCCTCAAAAAGAGCTGAGGATGGAACACCCTACCCTTTGCTTTCTGACAGCAGAGGAGAGAGATTTTTTGGCCCTTTCTGGTGCTCTCGAAAGATTTGGCCTCCCCCAGGAACAGGCCCACTGGACTAAAGGCCTTCCCTGGTCATGTTCCTCCTTAGCTGAGGAAAGAACTGTACAGAAAGGGAGGGACAGACTCTTCTGGCCTTTTTAGAGCAGAAATAAAATCAGCTCAGGGACATTCCGAGTAAGTGGTAGTCATGGATGGGTGGAGTGTGGCTTTGGGATCCATCTAAAGAAACCTCTGCCTTTGGCCCTTGGAGTAGTCACAGAGTTGGGCCGGGTGGCGGAGGTGGGGGGGGGGCGGTGCTTAAAACTGTGACATACTTTCTTGCAGAATCTCATGGGACATGAAGGAGCTGTGAAATGCCTGTTTTGTGACCAGTGGCATCTTCTCTCAGGAAGTGCTGATGGCCTGGTCATGGCCTGGAGCATGGTGGGAAAGTATGAGTGATGCCTGATGGCCTTCAAGCATCCAAAGTAGGCTCTGGGGGACCTGGGACTGACAGACAAAAGTTTCTCCTTTTTCCCATCACATCCTACACTGTGGTCTGACAGAGCAGTCCCTTCTGCTCTCTGCTGACCTCTTGTCCCCTCTGTTCCTCACCCATTTCTGCTTCCCTCCTCTTCTGTTACTCATTTCCCCCACCATTTTCTCTTCTGGCCATTCCCTCTTCTACCCTCATTTGTTTCTCTTGACAAATAATAATACTAGCGTGGATTTTGAGAAGTCATTGAAATTTTATACTTGTGACACACATGATAAATTCACATCTGTTGTTTGTTAAACCTGTGAATATTTGCAGAACCATCCCCAACAATGGTAATTCAAGGTAACATAAAATTCTCGGAATTAGTTTTTATCCTGGGAAGCTTTTCTTATAAAATGACCCAAGTGCTCAAGGTTTAAATAATGAATGACTTTTAAAAAGTTTTTTTAAAAAGTCTGTGGGCTAGATTCTATTCCAGGACTGGAAATGGGTTTCACTTTACATTCCAATTCAAATTTAGTGGTGGTGGTTGCTTGGGCCAATTAAGAAGTATAGTATTTTGAGGTCACAATTGGGCCTGTTTAGAAAGAGTATTGTGGTGAATTAATAATTCTGCCATGGCCTTGAGTTTTATTGGCTGCTCTATGGCATTCTCAGATTACATGGATAATACTTCTTGCCCGAGTGCATTATAAAATGTTCCAGAAAAAATAACGCTACCTTAATTCATTAAAAGAGTAAGTGGATTTTCCACACCATCTATCAGTAAATTATGACTCTAGATTCCCTTATATTCTCATAGGACCTTTTTATGCAGACTCACTGGTATTGAGGAAGGTTTAAAGGGTATATGGATTTATATGGGTATATTGTCTTTCTGTGATATGTGCTGCATTATTAACAGGTGGATGCAAGGTTAGACCTGTGTTCAATGTTTATCCAACCCTTAGGTGACTATGAGTAAGCTATTTAGTCTATCATCTGGATTATCAAGGCTTGATCTCAAGGAAGGAATCAAACTATATGATGTCACATGAAAATTACAACTGCTAAGCAGCATTCAGTAGGATTTAGTTAGTTATTGAAAGATAATGTGTTCCCATCTCATAAATCCATTCTACCTTTGTCATGAGACCTCCTCAATGGCCACTGTCATAGAGTAACCACCAACACATCATTCATCTTAGTTCTTGATACCTGGCATGGTCCCAGAAAAGCCATAGACATCTGGAAGACATGACCAACACTTTGTAAGTGCTCCACTGCTCTGTAAGTGCTATGTAGATATAAGTGGTCAATAAATGTATCTAATTGGTAAAAAGCACTAATTTGACAGATGGCTTTGCTGCAGAGTTCTAATGATTGGACTGATACCCACCTTTTGGATATGCCAAGGGTGAGAAAACAGACATAGTTACTCTCTGTCCTTTGATAGAAGAACTGGAGACAGAGATCTTTCTTGAGTCAACACCTTTCCCCAATAAAATTATGATTTTGAATATGGTATGGAAGAGAATGGATATGAGAGAGGAAATTGGAAAATGTAAAGTAGGCTTAACAGAAATGATAATGTTTGGCAACGCTTTCATACTGTGAAGTTTTCTTTTTAAAAAAGCTTTATCTTCAATATCTTTTCCATTGTTCATATTGTAATTAAATTTTTTGTAATTTTTAATTAGAACATAATATGCATACTATAAACTTTGCCACTTTAGTATACAATTCAATCATTTTTGGTATATTCATACTGCTATACAACCATTATTACTATATAATTACAGAATATTTCCATTAGTCATTAGAAATGTTCCATGTCCTTCTAACATGAGTATTTTGACTCTTCTCTTATTTTCTTGGTAAGTCTAAGTAAAGATTTGTCAGTTGTCTAACTAAACATTTGTTGATCTACGTAAAGAACCAACTTTATCAGATAAACACCAAAACAGTTATAATGGGAGATCTCAATACCCCATTGTCACAAATAGATCACCTAGACAAAAAAATCAACAAAGAAATACCAGCATTCATCCAAATGAACTTGACAGATATCTGCTTTGTAGGAGGACTAAGATATGCTTAGGGTATCACATAGTTATTGTATTTCCATCTTGGAAGGAATTAGAACTTTTTTGAGCTTTTAAATACTTATTTTATAGCTTATCTGTCTCTCTGCCTCTCTCTGCCTCTACTCTCTTCCCTCAGGGATTCAAGCCACACAGGCCTCCTTTTTATTCTTTGAGTATGCTGAGCATGTGGCTGCCGTTTGAGGTTTTTATATACTATTTCTGTTATGTCAGTGATTAAGCCCTTGAAAAGTTCTCATCTGGCCCACAGTCTTATCTGACTGTGGCTAAGGCTAAATGGTATGAGGTAGATGTCATTCTTTTAACATTTTGCAGCTATGACCATACTCCAAAAGCCTGAGTAGTCAGTTTTTCCACAAATATGTACTGAATACCTATAATAGGCTGGGCACTGTGCTAGGTGCTGGTCATACAGCAATGCATATAACATGAGTTGCAACCCCCAAAATCTGACAATATGCCTGAAGTTTGTGTACATGTGTGGTGGAGATAAGAGATGTTTTTTGGAACACATGAGCTAGGCCATGGGTGGACACTGTTTTAGTCCATTTTCTGTTACTATAACTAAATCCCTGAAGCTTGTTAATTTAGAAAGAAAAGAGTGATGAAATTGATAAAGAAAGTTTTACAGTTTTGGAGGCTAAAAGTCCAAAATCAAGCAATCTTATCTATTAAGTCTCTGGCAAGGGCCCTGCTTAGGTGGATTGCAATATGGAAGAGAAACAGAAAAGGAACCAGCCCCATGCAGAATAGGCCAAGCACATGGGGCAGCCTTGCTTTACAACAATCCACTCTTGTAGAAGTAGGGTCCTGTGAGAAGTACACTGATTATCTGAAGGCAGTGTCTTAGGCTTCACTTCTTAAAGGTTGTCCACCACTCAACCCTGGTATCTTTGGGGACCAAGTTTCTAGCACAGGAATCACTAGGGGATACTCTTAAACCATGTGGAAACTAGAGCAAACTTGGCTGGGTAGAAATGATAGGTACTGTTGGACATGCTTTGCATATTGGACCTAACAAATTACTGGCATCAAATTCAACTTATTATAGTTGATTAAATGGGGGTAATTTTACTTGTTGGAATTATATATGCTATATATCTGGGGTACAACATATCCAGCTGTTGTGGTTAGAGACATCTGTCTAGGTCTTCTGGTTCCCCCTTTCCCTAATGGTCATCATAAAAGGATACTTATAAATCCTATCCCTAGTACAATTTTCCTAAAGGCTGTTAAGGATGTTTATTCACCGAGAGGATGAAAACAGCTAATTTAAGACCAAAAAGAAACTTTCAAATTTAAGGTTTTTGCTTTATATAAAGATTACCCTTTTAAAAATATAATACTATTTTAAAAACAATCAAAACATTAAATAATTCTCACCATGACTTTTGCATAAATACTTGGGAATCAAATTGCAAGAGAAAAAGCCCTATGATCATCTATATATGAGACTGCCTGTTCTCCCTCCAAAATCTGTGACACAGGCCTTTTTGATTTGACACCTTGTGGCCCTGTGGCCAAATTGCAGGAAAAGTAACAGCAGAATGGGAAGAGGTGTGTCTGAGCATTAATGGTTTATACCCAAAATCATTAAAATAATGGAAACATCACTTGGAGGACAGTTATGATCATTGTCTCTCAGTCACACACAAAATACCCCAAATTACAAACAAATCCAAGCAATTTCCTGAAGGTAGATTCTGCCTGTTCTGTTCTCTTCCAGGGAGGTGCTCCATGTGTCCCTTCTTTATCTTCGTGTCATCAGTGCCTGTGCAGATGGAAAGATACATATTTATAATTTCCTCAATGGAAACTGTCTGAAGGTGATAAAATCTAATGCCAGAGGTGATCCTGTGCTGTCCTTCTTTTATCATGGCAACAGGTGGGTTGTAGGTGTGGAGAACTGTGATCAATTCTGTTGATGATTTTTTTTTTTCTCCTCTAGCCCTGATTTGCTGACAGAAGGAGAGTGGGTAGTGCCTCCCTCCCATTTTGGCTGTACTGGAGTAGCAGTGCTGTGGGAGAATAATTGGCCTTTGCAGAAACCTAGGAATCAGAGTTCATTTTGACTAATTCATCCTGGATATATGAGGAAATTATGCACTGGGTATAATACGATTCTTTTGTCAGGACTACAGTTGTGCTAATACTCAGCTGTTCTTTCTCTTTGATCATGCACTCAACTCTCCAGAGCTCTGTTAACTGTCATTGTCATCCACTTACAAAAGGGTGAGGGAGGGAGGTCACACTGAAGGAGGTCCAGTGAGGAAGATCCAGTGAGGGAGAGCTGAACCAGTGAGTTTACAGAAACCAGTATCACGACTGAACTCACATTATGCAGTACTGTGCTTGTTATGTATGAATTGCTTCAGGGTGATATTATGTGAAAACAACCAAATAGAATTAACTTGTACATTTTATCCCAAACTCACTGGAAACATTTAATCTCCCTAACCATATTGCCTTCCTTATGACAGGTCATTAATATTATTTAGCAACTTAAAGGGGAGCTGGTAATGAGGTGCAATAAATAAATACTTTTCAATTATGAAGTAATAATGTTGTAAGAGACTGGGGAAATAGCTTTATTAGAGCATGTGCTTATCATATGTGAGATCCTGGGTTCAGTCTCCCGCACTCTGCTCCCTCAAAAAACAATCAGCTCTAATAATCAGCTCTTTTCTCATTCACAGCATCCCCAAAGAAACAACTTCCTTTGAGTTAAAAAAATGTTTGCAAAGATTTTTTTAGTGGAATTTGATCTCCCAAATTCCATTCCAATGTTTCCAGCCCAAACACATCACTTTTCTAGAAAGTTTACACTGGCAGTTAAGGTCTTAAAATTGCAGCCTTTGGAGCAGAAAGGAGCCTATATATAGTATTTCTATTTCTTGTTCACAGTTACAGGAGATCTGACACACAGGAGGAAGCAGTTTGCTTTGTGTAAAACCAGTGGTGGTGGGGGAGGCATTAGAGAAGATAGAAATCATCCTGCTTTATAAGGTACTCTGTCGACATCTGGAGTATGTCCAGAGGGCTAGCATGAAGGAGAGTGATCTATTTGTGTGGAGGGTCAGCAGAGCAGAGAAAGCTTCTCTAGTACAGTTTTCATTCTCATGGTAGGAATAGAAACAGGGGTTCTGAAAACTTTGGGACTCGGAAAAAAACAAATAAAATTTAAAAAGAAGTGAATATCAAGACAATTTTGTGTGGAATACCTAGGCTTCTTCCTAGGTCACCCTAGGTATTTGGGAATTTATTGAAAAATTTTCTAGGCTGGGTGCAGTGGCTTATATCTATAGTCCTGGTTACTTGAGAGACTGAGGCAGGAGGATCGCAAATTCAAGGCCAGCTTGGGCAATTTATTGAGACCTTGTTTTAAAATTTAAAAAAAAAGGCTGAAGATGCAGCTCACTGTGAGCCCCGGTTTCAATTCCCAGTACTGGAAAAGAAAAAGACAGAAAGAAAGAAAAAGAAAAAGAAAATTATAACATGAGAAGCAAGGCAATCAGAACACATGTGCTCTGTTCAGGTTTGTTTGTTTATTAAAGAAAATAGTTGCAAAGCTAGGCACTGGCTGCATGGCCTGGTTCCTTTCATTGCTCCCCACTCACCAACACCTTACACTAGCTTTTTTTGTATGGTTATTTCATGGGCACTGCTCTGTTGGCTAGAGGTCCGATGGGACAGTAATTGCAATACATGTTTTGGTGGCCTCCATGCTCCTTTGGTGGGCAATCTTGTTTTGGTTCCAGGATGGTGGTCAACACAGAGAGCAATATTCTCATGTTCCAGTTTGAGAATATAAAGTGGCAGTACTCCCACGAAAGAAGTAAACAAAAGAAGAGTAAGAATAAAGAGGAGGAAAAGGAAGAAAAAAGTCTCCTGGACATTCTTTCCAAGTCTAGCACTCAGGTTCACAGCGTAAGAGAATCTGTATCCAGTAAACAAACTGTTACCCAGGAGTTCCTACCAAATAAACCTCACAAGTCTCACCTTCTTCTGAATCCAAGCAAGCTACCTCCAGGTAAAGGAGCTGAACTGCAAACAATTTTGTGGTAACCAATGGAGCAGGGGAGGGGATTTTAGATATTTTGGCCAAGGGTTTCTTGATGACATAAATTCTAACACTTCAGGAAAGTGGGAACCATTTTCTTTGATCCATCAATTTGTTAGCCAGCTCAAGGGAACCTCTTGACTTTCATGATCTAGATTTTCAAATTTATTAGCATCTTTGTATAGTAGATTATATAGTAACCTTATACTTGCCATTGAAAAAAGCAACCAACATCTCCTATCCCCCAAATCCAAACAAGTATTATAAAACTATTTCCTCAGAAGAGAGATAAAAAGTTACTATAAGTAGAAAAATGTTCTATGCAGAATGTATTATCTTTAGACCTTTGAGAGACAGTGTGTGTACCTGGAAAATATTAGTTATAAAGCAAATATGTATATGTGTGTACGGGTAGATATGTCTGAGTGTGTAGGTGGGGATATGGGCATTGCTCATGCCATTTATGACATCTAAAGAATAAATTATATGCAGGCTAGAGTAGCAAAACTCCTTCCTTTTAGTTGCTCCATATATGGCATGAAATTTGATACACAGATCTATAGAGAACACCTATAGATTACCTCCAAGCATATCACTGTACAAATAGCCAATCTTGAGGAGGCCAGAGTTTAAGATAATGCTTAGAGCTTGATAATCAGTAGGAAAAGTAGGTGGTAGTCAGGAAGTGATCTAGACATTAGATTTTAGGTGACTACTTAGTTTAATATCAGAATAACCAACATAGTGATATTTTGAGTGAAAATCTGTTGAATTATGAGGCCCCATTATTACTGTTTTTACTATTAATATGCCCACATTATTCAGATCTAATAAGATTATATAATTACTACAGTTTCTTCCTCACTTACTTTAGCCATGTTAATACAAGTACCTTGTTGTATACCTAAAATATACCAATAAAAGAATTTAAGAAGAAAAATACAAGTACCTCAAAGATAAGGAAACCAAAATCACCCCCAAAAAATGGCCACAGAGAACTGGTTCTCTTTACAGGGGAGTAAATGGCATGGATGATGGGCAAGAGAATTGGGAAGAAAAAAAATCCAAGACAGGTGATATGATAGTGATGCTTTACTGTAAATCAGTGACAAGATCCAGTCCCCTGCCCCATGCTCTCCTTTAGTTTTCTTTTTAGCAGACCTTATCTTTGAGGATTCAGAGAGTGACAGGTTTTCCTTAATTGTCCCTTTATTAACTTGAGGGTCTAGAGGAAGAAAGTTCCTTAGATCCAGGGCTCCCAGTCTACTTTCATTCAGCTTTGTGGCCTCTTGCACAGTTGTGCCAGTAGTCTGAATAATGGGCACAGAAGAAGGATGAAGAGGAGATTAGGCTAGTTAGGCTGGTTACAGGAGATAAGAGAGAGATGTTTTGGGGTGGGATATGCTATGTATATGAGATAAAGAAATATGGGGGGGGAGAGAGAGATTGACTGTAAGAAGAGAGCAAGAGTCAGGCACGGTGGTACATATCTGTAATCCCTGTACTTTGGAAGGCTGAGACAGGAGGATAACAAAACTCAAGCCCTGCCTGGACAACTTCGTTACTTAGGATAACCCTGTCTCAAAAAATAAAAAATAAAAAAAGGGGCTGGGATGTAGCTCAGTGCAAAGGCCCTGGGTTCAGTTCCTATTACTGCAAACAAAAACAAACTAACAAAATCTCAGAAAAATCAAACAAAGAAATGAAGAAAAGTTGCTGGATATCATGACTGAACTGCCCCTTTATTGTTTTTGAAGGGGATTGGTAACAACTCCTTTCAAATATTTTTTAGTATAGTAGTCTTTCTTTGAACCAAACACCATGCAGAGATTTGTTTTAAGGTAAGGTCAGAAGAATCAAGTTTGATGAAAATTATGCTAATTATGAACATCCTGTATATACTCGTGTCTGTATACCTGAAGAAGTCTACCTCTGGTATAAAGTTCAAGAAGGGAAATTGCTGAGCCAAAAGATAAGTGCATTTAAAAACTAGAAAGTTATTGCCATGTTTGTCCTTAAAAGTGCAGTATTAATTTACACTTCCACTAACAATGTGTGAGAGTTCATTATCACATTCATGACAACTTTGGGTGTTATCACCTTGTACATGTTTACATGGTAAGTAAAAATGGTGCTTGTGTTTCTTTAAGATTGATCATTAATTAAATGTCCAACAGTGGCCAATGGCTAAGCAGATAATACACAATCTATACCTGGAATATTGTATGACAGCTAATAATTGTATGATGAGAATTGTATGATGGGCATTGAAGTAATGGGGATATACATAGAGACTTGGAAAGATGTCCAAGATATATTGTTAGGCAAAAAAGGCAATTTAATGAACAATGAGCTCATTCCAGTGCCTTTTTTAATAAAAGGAGAAAAATTCTTTGTTTTTGGGGGTTTGGAAGAAGGGAAAATTTTTTTTAAAATTTATTTATTTTTTTGGTACCGAGGATTGAACTCAGGACCTTGCACTTGTGAGGCAGGAGGCGGCACCACTGAGCTAAATCCCTGGCCTAAAAAGTTTTATATTTTAATTCACTCAGTTTTATAAATTTTATTTTATTTTTTGGGTTTTTTTTTAGTACTGGGTCCTTATGCTTTTGAGGTAGGTGGTGGAATCACTGAGCTAAATCCCCGGCCCAGTTTTATAAATTTTATTAAAATGTTGTTTAATTAGCAAAGTAAAGGTCAGGGAACAATTTGAGTTTTCATTTCATCCTAATCTGTTCATCTTTGGATAAAAACTATTGGGCCAAGGGAAATTATATGCATAACACCTTGTGTTTTATTTGCTGGTGTAGCTTGGGGTTTAAACTGACTCTTACTTGTTAGGTTCCAGACTAGACAAATGACTTCTACTTTTCATGACTGTTATTCCTTCTGAAAGTAGGAAAATGTTATCAGTAAGGGATTTTAGGGTCTTAAAAGCTTAAACGGGATCAAGATACTATATTTGCTTACCTGTGAAGATATCTTCATTAACTTATTGGTCTTATACTCCTCAGAAGTCTTGATGTAAAGTAATATATAGGAAGGATTCTGTTGATCTGGCCATTGGATTTTGGACCTGCTGATATTTTTGTCATGTTATAATGTTTTGCATTGCCCAGAGGTGATACAGTCTTCAAAGGTAGGTCTGATTCTGGGAAATGTCCAGGATCAATGGAAGTCAAATCTCATTAATAAAACTGAGATCATACTTTGTGATATAATTATCATTAAAAATATAGGCATATTATTACAAATAGATAAGGCCTGTTTTGTGTGAATCATACATTGATACATTCAGGTCATTTCTACAGGGAAGTTTCAAAAATTTGTGAATATTGGAACTGAATATGTCTCCAAAATATGCATATCTAAAAGCTAATGCACACTTTATATGAGTTTAGCACATTTGTTTAAAATTTATTTTATTAAGTCATTTCTAGTATCATCATTTCTGATATCATTAGGGACATTTGACACATGGTGGCATGCCTGCTGGGCAACAATACCTAAGTATACCTAGCAGTTTAGAAAGATAGAATGGCTTTAACTTTCATGCATAAGTACTTAATAGTTTCATAGAATACTGATTTTATTTTCTTTTTATTAAAACAGATGATGAGGAGAAAGTACAAATACAAAGACAACTGAAAGCTCCTGAAAAATTGATCAGACATTCAAAGAAAAAGTCCTGGAAAATGCCTATGTCACCTAACCGGTTTCTTCTGACTGTCAGTGCCTTGCAACAAGCCCATAATTCTGGAGAATTTGCCTATCCCCATAAGCCCCAAACTCAAGTCATTGATACCTGGGTACCTTCAATTTCATACCCAAGGAAGGTCCTGAATTTCAAGGGAAAGTCAATCCAACATGCAGTTGACTGGTTGAAATTTAATAATCTTCCAATAGATGTGAAACAAATTAATATTCCTCTTGAAATCCAGAAACTGAAGCCCAACTTGAAGAGATCTTTGCATAGTCCCAGTGTGCAGTCTACCATACCCCGGCCCATGGTCATCCACCCCAGGTTCTCTGACAGCTTAAAAGGTGAACACCACTTGACCAGTTCTACTGGAAAAGCAGTGCACCATATGGGCCCCCTGACCAGCATGCAGGTCGTTAAGCCCAACCACATGCCAGCTCCACAAGTGAGCCTGGCTACCCTGACTCTCAAGAAAGAAAGGCCGCACTTCAACACAACTCTGGATCCCCTTTGAATGAACACACAGTTCGTGCTATTGACTGTGAATGAAGAGAAAGAGTATGAGGAAGCCAAGATGAGAGACTATCAGGCCAGTGAGCCCACTAGAATGGTCAATCCAGGAAAAGCAAGCAAGGCTGGGTGGATCCAGAAGATCAAAGGTCTGCCTATAGATAATTTCATAAAGCAAGGGAAAATAGCAGCTTCTGAACTTGGACAAAATATATTCATCTAAATGAGCCTTGGGAAATTACAGTGTATTACAATAAACAGAAAACCAAGTGGGTATTGTATTTGGCCTTGCCCTGCCCACCTGGCCCCTCCTTTCCTTCTTTTTTTTTGGTACCAGGGATCGAACTTGGGTCCTTGCGCTTGCGCACCTTTCCTTCTTTCTTTGACAATTCCCTGGCAATTAATGTGGAAACTCCTATCTTCCTACCAGCAAAGAACAGATATTATCAGAGTAAGAAAGGAGGAAGAGGATAGGAGATATTGGCCTCTGCATTTTTATTGGAAACCATTCAATGAGATTTAGGGAAGTTCAATTTCATTGATAGGTGGTAGGGAAATCTTGGAAAATTAGATACTACTCACCACTACCAATTTCAAGATGTCAATTTGTCCAGGAAATGAGGGGTTGTATCAGAATAATTAATTGAAATTTGCTGATATTTTGGTACGGAAACTCAAGTGAGTTCAGTTACCCTAAAAGGGTGAAGCTCTAGACAGGTTGACTTATTATATTTGAAAATATTTGGTGTGTGTTTCCTTCTTAAGGCTAACTCCTTTGGAAAAGAATCATTTACATCCTCCCAACAAAGAGAGATACTAATATCAAGTGGGTTGAGATTTCTATTTAAACCTTTGGAGGGTAGTCAAGGTCAGACAGGTAATTTAGAGGAGTCAGTCCCCCATAGGCGCTATGGCCCAGTGGAGAGCCCATGCTCCATCCACAGGGCATAGCTCCTACTTCGTGGCTTAGCATGGCCAGATCTTGCCCTATATTTTTAAAGAATAATTAATTTAAGTAGAATGCATAACAAAAGTAAAAACAACAAAAAGTCAGTCCTATAAAAACCCACAACACGGGGCTGGGGATTTAGCTCAGTGGTTTCACTGCCTGCTGCGCAAGCACAAGGACCTGAGTTCGATCCCCGGTACCAAAAACAATGACAACAGCAACAAAACCCACAACACCGAGTAAGCCACCAAAAACATGCTTCAGACAGGCTAGATGCAGAGAACATCTATCCATCTCCGAGTAAGCATGTATTTACTTTGCCAAGCTCTCTATCCTTTGGTAAATGTGTGTTTGTGTGTGTGGGATGTTTCTTCACTATTTTGATACTAGGTTTAAAATATCACTGATAAATAGCCATGTAAAAAAAGGTTTTTTTGTTTTGTTTTTTGTTTTAAGTGCAGGGAGGGGATCCAACCTTAGCCTCCCACATGCTAAGCAAGCACTCTACCAGTCAACTACACCCCCCAGCCTAAAATCTGTAGTTTTTAATGAAAAGAATCCCTTCATTTAAGGAAACGTGGGAGTATTATTCCGTGAGCCTTCCAACAGTAGTCTGATTTAGGTCAGGCAGATAGGCTATTCCTATCATCACAGCCCCTGAATTTTAGTTCTAAGTAAAATTACACCATTAGCGGCCGAACTTCAAACAATAATAAAAAAAGTGTCCCACCTGCTAAATACCTTGTAAGGATATCAGCCACTCCCACTTTACGACTGAAGAAACAGCAGTGCATAACTGGCAACAGTGGGTAGGAGTTGAAACCCAGGAGCCCAAACTTCAGGGTGCAAGTGTCAACCTCGATTCCTTATTGTTTTCCGGCGTCTCAGGTTATTCCCTTCCCAAAACAATGCCCTGTGTTGTTTATAGAGTCTTTTTGCTTTGTTCTTTTTACTCCTTCGCAAGAGCACATTTATTTTTTTAATTGCTTTTAAAATTTAATACACAAAAGTAATACTGCTCGGGAATACTGGTCGTTGTAAAATACTCAAATTACGGAATAAAGCCTCGCCCCTCGCACTCAAGGGATAGACGCTGGCAGTAATACCTCACGGTTAGCGAAAAACATTGTACCCACTGCGAAACTGCGTAGCTTCCCGTTAGATCTGACTGTAGTTCCGGGATCCTTTCCGAGCTGCTAAGTATTTTGCTTCTAATTGGATGAGACCCGGCTCCCGCTTCCAGATCGCCCTGCCCACGACCTCGCTCCACCCCTGTATAGGCCTGCCCGCGCTCTTCCAGGCAGCAGTTGCTCCAACCTCCCGAAGTTTAGAAGCGGAAGTGGGGCTGGAAAGTAGGTCCGGGTTGCGGCCTGCACAGTAGCCCCTTCCTGGCCTGTGGTGACGAGGCAGCTGGAGTTGCACACCGGACCGGGCGGCTGCTACGCTGACGTGGCCCCCGGAAGTGGGGCTGGCGCAGGGCCGCCATGTTGCCGCAGGTGAGGGGCTGTGGGCTTCGGGAGAGGGCAGAGGCACCTAGAGGGCTTCCCTGCTAGGTTTATGGGGCGAGAGCCGGGCGTCCCGGGGCTGTTGTGCCCCTGCCCGCCGCCTGAGCTCGAAGAAGAGCGGGACGGGCGAGCGAGAGTGGAGGACCGAGGACAGTTGTTCGGGGAGGGCTTCTGGGTGCCCCGAGGCTTCTGGTGAGCAGGGAAAGCTTGGGGCTGTGGAGGAGCCCATCGTCAGCAAATGCCAACGGTCAGGTTACCCCCGGGCTGGGCTGCAGCAACGCTCTGGGCTTGAGGTTGCGGGTGGTCGCTTTTTCCTTAGCCCATAGTACAGCGGGTGGGAAGAGGGGGCAGTTGCCTGCGGACATCTCAGATTTCTCCTGGCCTGACCCTTGGGACGCGCTCTACGACCCTGTAGGAATAGGAGGAAGTGCCGGAGTCTTGCATTCAGATTATTACCCAACTAACATTGACGGTGATTATCACTTTTGTGCCCTCATAGTCCATAGGTTTGTTGTGTTAAATTTTAGTTTATTAGTTCGTATGTGTAGTACATGATTCCTTGTGGGAAGTTGGTCTTTTTCGGAGGGCTACCTGTTTGCCTTGAACTCATGGGGGTCCTCCTGCCTCAGCCTCTTGAGTGCTGGGATTACAAGCATGTGTCACCATGCCTGGCCCAATAACACATCTATTTTTCACTAACCCCCCCATCCCTCCATCTCTTGGGTCTCCTTCCCTTTTGCAAAAGATGCTTGTCTCTTAATTCTTCTGTTCTCTGTGTCAGTTCTAGTCAGTCTTTCTCTCCTGCAGTTCTGAACTTTTCTTACTGAGGTCACTGATGACCTGTTAAAAATACAGTGATCGCTTTGTTTTCATCTTACTTAGTGAGCAGCATTTGACAAAATTGATTGGATCTTTCTCCCGGAAACACCAGAGCTGTCACAATACCACTCTGTCCTGCGTCACCTCTCATTTCTTACGATTTCCTTCTTAGTCCTCACTCTTCATGCCTTCTCACCTTTCTGACATCTGAATATTGGAGTGTCCAGAGTCCGCCTTTGGCATTTTATCCTTTTGCTTTGGGCAGAAACTTTGAGATATTCCTTGATGACTTTTCTCTTGTCCCCACATTCCTCCTACCAGCTAATCCTGTCAGCTCTACCTTAAAATGAGTTCAAAATCTGTTCATTTTTCGCTATCTTCACTGCATTTACAACCTGGAGCAATTTATTACTTCCTGTCTTCATTATTGGAGTAGTCTTCTAGATTGATGCCTTTGTTTCTCCCTTCTAACTTCCTCCAGGGTATTTTTCTCACCCTGTGGTACTCAGGTTGAATCTAGGGCTTTTGCAATGAGTCATCATCCCCAGCCTTTTAATTTATTTTGGGACAGGGTCTCAGGTGCCCCAGGTAGCCTCAGGCTTGTGATCTTCCTGTCTCAGTCTACCAGAGCACCAGAATTATAAGAATGTGCCACTGCACTCAGCTTATCCTCTAGGTTCTTAATACAGTAGTGAGAATTTTCTTGTGCATTAGAACATGTCAGTCCTATGCTCAGAACACTAGTATTTACCTCTCTCAAAAAATTTTATAAAGTTCTTATACTAGCATATTGATATTCTTAAAACCAAACTTCTGATTTTGCCTCAAAGTCTATCATGCCCATGGTTTTCTCTATCTTGGTAAATGCAGTTGCAAGAGTACAGAACTATTTATTTTCTCTCCCTTTTTTCTCCTGTACCACTTAAAACAGTGTCAGCAACTTAGTAGGCACTCGGGGTTTACTGAATAAGTAAGAAGAACCTCGTCTTTCAGAACGCAGGGTAGGAGCGGAGTGTTGTAGACAGAGTGAATCACAAGTGCTTAAATCTTAAATCACATTGAAGGACTCAATGTGACACAATTTTGGCCTGTTTAAGTAACTGAAAAGACTAGTCTGACAAGAGCTTAATTGTTGTTTCTTGTTACTTCTGTACAAAATTACCATAAATGTAGGGGCTTAAAACAAATTAATTCTTACAGTTCTGGTGGTCAGAAGTCCAAAATGAGGCTTATGGGGATAAAATTAAGGATTGAGCATGGCTTTTGTTCCTTCTGGAGGTTTTAGAGGAGTCTGTGTCCTTACCTTTTCCAGCATTTTGAGGCTGCCTGTATTCCTTGGCTAGGCTAGTCGCCCCTCTGGCTTCAAAAGCGTCAGCAGAGCGTATTCACAACTTATTCTGCCTTTTGTATCATCACCTGTGACTCTGACTTTGCTGTGTTCCTCTTTTAAGCATCAGTATGATTACGTCTTTGGGCCTATCTGGATAATTCAGACTAATCTCCCTATCTCAAGATCCTTAATTTAATCATGTCTGCAAAACATTTTTTTTTTCAGCCATGTACACATATTCACAGGTTCCAGGGATTAGGACCTTAATGTCCACATCTTTGACTGAGAGAAGAGGCATTATTCACCCTACACAGTTAATGAGGGGAGAGTAACTTGAGAGATCATGATAGGATAGGGCAGGGAAAGATCATGATAGGTTAGGATAAGGAATCTTTTTTTTTTTAGTCCAAGTGCTGTGAGTTTTAAGGCAGGAAATGACAGTCTGGTGTGACAGTGTCTTGCTGCCTGTTAGGTGGAGATTGGCCTTTTGGGATCAAAAGCAGAGGGCCATAATTTTTTATTCCTAGATCTTAATCTTGGCTGTGTGGTTTGAATATCTAGGGAGCTTTAAAAATAAACCCAGATGTCCAATCCATACTCCAGAGCAATTACATCTGAACCTCTGGGGATGGTACCCAGATATCAGTTGTTACTTTTTTAAAAGAAGCATTTTCAGTCTAGGCAGGTTGAGAACCACTGGTCACAAAGAGCTGAATCCATTTTACCTTTCCAGTTTTAGCATCTATTCTGCTTTCCCCATCTTTTTTTTTACTATGGGCTTTTAATATGAGCTACCTGGTCATCCTACATATATACTTTTGTGTGTTCCATCATCTATGCCTTTGAAAACATGTATAGTTTAAGGACTGAGCAAGAGACATATATGGTCTGTCAAGGCCCAGCTGATAAACTCTTCCAGGAAACTTCTCCAGAGCCCTGTAATAGAAATGATTCTTTCCCTGCCCTGTGCTCCCATTTGAACTTATATTACTCTGCACGGTCTGTAATAGATTATAGGCAGTTGTTTCCCTTGTTTATTCACTCACACCTTCAACAAATACACTACTTGTCCGGGTGCTGTTGTGGACACTAGTTTTATTACAATGGTAAAAGAGTCCTTCCAGTAGATAGAGGTAGGAGGGGCAGACTTGCAGTTAGAATACCTTGTGATAATTCAATTGAAGATTACTCCAGGTGCTATAGGATTTTAGGGAAAATTTCCAAGCTATTTCTGTATTTGAGGTGAAACGTGGAGGGTGAGTTGGTGTTTGCTTGATGGTGAACTTGGCAGGGGATGGGAAAAGGCAAGAGCATTTTGAGTAGAGAAAACATGTGAAAGGCTGAAAGATGAGAGAGGCTGTGCAGTAACTGCAGTGCCCAATGGGAGGGAGTGTCAGGTAAGTAGGGGGCATTAGATCATGCGATCTATACTCTATGAGGAGGAGTTATATTATCCTCTGTTTGGAGGGGCACCATTGAAAAGTTTGAGCAAGGGAGTGACATGGTGTGATTTCCATGGTGGTACACTTAGTTTGTGAGTAATGTAGAGGAGAAGCTGGAATAGAGCAGGGGTGATGAGATAAAGGCAGGGGGCCAGGTGAGTGGAACTAGGGAAGGTACAACTATCAGGGTCCTTGTGATTGAGGCTGAAGGGGAGTTGCAGTAGGTTCAGTTTCGAACCATTCTTAGGTCCTAAGGTGGTGAAAGGAAGGAGTGCTATAGGAAGGTAGAAGATAGAAGAGGAGATTTCAGGATCAGGGTTTTAAAAATCTTTTTTTGAACAATAAGTGATCTTAAAGAGGTTTAAATGCTGATTAGAAAGACCTGATAGAATTGAAGATACAAAAGATGTAAGTAAAGGGGAACATGATAGAAGCCTCTAAGAAGGCGTAAAAGAGGATTTGGTGCACAGTTGTTTGGTCTTGGGTTAGAGGAGATGGTTTTGTGAGAATGAAAACAAGGATGCAGTCAGGTGGTTTTGTGAAGGAGCCAAAATACTGAGTTTATCCCTGATAGGTTCAGCTTTCTGCATGACTTGGGAGAAAGCACCTGAGGGTAGATTTAAGTTTGCAGGAGCATTATATTCAACCCAGTATTTTCTGAGAGATCAGTAGCCCAAGGACTGGTATGGAGACAGCTGAGTCTTGGATTATCATGTTGAGTATCATGTTTGAAGTTGGAGTAGAGGATTGGCACATGTCTTTTCTACTAGGTTTCAAATTCCTGATGGCTTTGCCATGTCATAATTTTATCTTCCTTTTGACGAATGTGCAACCTTGCATTGTGATAGGTATATAAATACTGAATTTCATTTTGTTTCATAGATATTTAATTTCCTTACTAGGACAGTAATGATGACGCTGAAGATGTTTCACTGTTTGATGCAGAAGAAGAGACAGTTAGTAGATCAACAAGATCCAAAATCAGGTAAGAGGATGTTACATTTTGTTGGTTTCCAGTGCTATTCTGTCCTTGTGTTGGTGTCACCTTATGGGATTCAAGGTGGAATGGTTGCATTAAGCTTGTGAATTGTTGCTAGTTTGATTTAGTGTAAGAATAGGGAAAAATTGGCATATGGAATTTTATTCAATTCTGAGTTTTCAAATCAGCATATCCAATTATTTGAATACTAGTGTTTTTAAATTTTGTGATAGCTACTGTTTTCCAACAGTATTACACAATTTCTTTGTATAATTTATGTTGATACATTACATTTCTGTCTCTTTTGGTACCCAGAATTGAAGTCAGGGCCTTGTGCTTGCCAGGCAGGTGCTGCACCGTTGAGCTACATCCCCGGCCCTTGATTCATTACATTTTGATTTATTACCCAAATTTTAGAATTACGTTTTTTAGAAATAAAATGAAAATATCAAGCCAAATAATTCTTTACTAAATTTCTCTCCAAAGAAATTCATTTAATGAAGTAAAATTCTACCTGAACCTTAAAGCATGCAAAGTATAAGGTGCTAGTCACAAAAGACTGAATATTATATGATTTTATTTATATGAAATGTCCAGAATAGACAAATCTTTGGAAATGGAAAGCAGATTATTAGAGTAATGAGAAATTATTGATTATGGTGATGGTTGCACATTGCTGAATATACTAAAAATCATTAAGTTGTATACTTTAAGTAGATGAATTATATGGTATGAGAATCCTATCCAAAACAAAAACCAAAAAACCCCTTGATGGTTACTTTGTCTTTTTTAAAAATTTTAATTTTTTAGTGTATACATGGAGTACATAAAGTTTACATTCCTTGTGGGAAGTTGGTACATGTACATAACACACCTTAATTCCTTTTTTTCCTCCCCTTTCCCTTACCTCCTTCCCCAATCTACCCACCTCTTGGTCTGTTTGCTTTTTTTTTGGTACGTGTTTGCAGTACATAATGCTTACATTGCATTCCTTGTGTGGAGATGGTACATATATGTAACCCATCCCAATGCTTTTTTCATCTCCTATCATCCCTCTGCTGCCTCCTCCTCCATCTCTTGATCCTCTTCCCCTTTGAGAAAGCTCTAACTCCCTATTTCCTATTTTCTGTCCTTTTTTTGTTCTTTTGAGACAGAGGCTTGCCATGTAATCCAGACTGGTCTCAAATTTATGGCAATCCTGCCTCAGCTTTGCCGAGTACTGGGACAGGCATGTGCCATTAAGCCCAGCTCTTTTTATTTTGCCCTTTATTTTACTTCAGGTTTCTTCTATAAGAGAAACCATGTTATATTTAAGCTTGTGGGTCTAATTTATTTCACTTAACATTATGGTCTCAAGGTGGATCTGGTTTCCTACAAATGACTCACGTTTAAATGGTTACTTTGTCTCGTACCTGAACTGATTTCTGAGGGTCTGGGAATTCATTCCATATGAGTTGATAACTCAAACTGGGTAACGTCTGTTGTTAACATGTTTTGTGAAAGTTTCTATTCAATGAGGTGTTACAGTCATGTTTACACAGTGTATTTCCTGTGATGATAAGGTTTAGATAAGTACTTAAGATGGGAATTTAAGAAATAAAGAGAGGTACATGGTTTCCTTCTTTCTCAAATCATCTTTTATTTTGAAAAAGGTGCTTATAGTTGTACACTGGCTAAAACATTTTGCATCTACATTTAGTACCTGTAGTAAAATGTTGTTGCATTTCTTTTATTGTGTTTTGGTTTTCAGACATCCGGTGGCATCATTTTTCCATTTGTTCTTTCGAGTCAGTGCAATTATAGTCTATCTTCTGTGTGAATTGCTCAGCAGCAGTTTTATTGCCTGTATGGTGACCATTATCTTGTTGTTGTCATGTGACTTTTGGGCAGTGAAGGTAGGTTTGCTTTTTTTTATTTTAAAATTGTCCTTAATATGAGTTTGAATAATGTATAAAGAGTAAGAAATGAGACATAGCATTTTAGATTGGTGTTATCTTTTTGTTACTTCAGGCCTTATGTGTTAAAGTGCAGGATATAGCTATCACATGTAGATTATTAAACTACTAAGTTGTCTGTGCCATATGTCAATAAGTATTACTAGCAGCCATAGATTATATATTACTTCTTGTCCATACCACTAGTTTTGCTTCAGGGTCATTTTCTGTTGTGTTGTATATAATTTCTGTGGAAAGCTCCAGTATAATTTGTCCATAATTGCTTAAAAAGTACTTACCTTTTGCAAGGATTCCCATGGGAGCTTTAGTATTCCGAAACGGGGGCAACCTCTCTCCCCTCCATTCCCCTCGCCCCCATGGGATATTTGTCAGTGTCTGAAACATTTTTGATTGTCACAAATGGGGGCGCCAAAAGGGTAATGCTGGCATCTAGTGGATAGTGGCCAGGTATGCTGCTAAATGTTTTAAGATGTACAGGAAGCCCTCCACAACAAAGAATTATCTGGCTCAAGATCTCAGTTGTGTGAAGATTGAGAAAAAAACAAAGAATTATGCAGTTTAAGATGTCAGTTGTGCCAAGGTTGAGAAACCCTGCTCTAGGAGTGCAAGAATTGGTCTCAAAGTCAAAGGCAATGATGGGTAGCAAGGTGGATGCACGGGTGGGTAGATAGATACATAGATTAATTTATATTAAGATAACTTATGAGATATTGTATGGACTCTAGGTGATAGATTCTTGGGTAGTCACTCAAATTATTCTTGTGTGAGGGAAAAAATCAAATGAAATAAACAGAACAAAAGAGGTTTATTGTGGAATTTCAGTCACACCATCTTTGCTACTTTTAGACCTTTAAATTCATACAGTGATCAGAAATCGTTGCCTTAATGGTGGCCAGTTTCCATAGCCATATAATGCTGAGAGAGAAAATTTCAAAGGTCTTTTTTCTTTAATCTTTTCTTTTGTGCATTCTTGACTTTGCATTTCTTCTCTTGCTTTATGCTCCAAACAGTGTATACTGTATCCTGTTTATAGTTTTGTTTTGATGAATGCTTATTTTTGTTTTTCATACCATTTCTGTTCAGCCAAATAGAATATGGCCTTCTTCATAATTTCAGACTCTTATATAGTTTAATAAGCTTATCCAAAATGCTTGAGACCTAAAGTATTTCATATTTTAGAATTTTTTGGATTTGGGACTTTATCTATTGACTATTCCTAACCTGGAAATATGAATATGCAGTGCTCCAAAATCCCAAATCAGTTGAGTGTTATATCAACAGAATAACAAGAGAGAAATTCAGATTTCAGATATTTAGATCAGAGAAGATGAAATGTGTTTGGGGTTAGAGTAAAAAATGTGACCAAATAGTATATTTTGATTTTTTAAAAAAGAGCTTAAAAAAGATCATGCTTTTATCCTTGGGAGAATTACTTATAGATATCCATACAATTGAGATATGAAGCAAAATTCAGAACTCAAGAATGGGGAATTGTTAGAATTGGGAAAGGCAGAGTTCTAAAACTGGTTGAAACAAAAATGTGTCATAATTATTAATCTTAATGTAGTTATCAAAAGAGATGGAATAATTTTAGAATAAGCCATTTTTTTTAGCCCCAAAGCCTACATGATATTAGTAAAGACCATTCTGAAAAATAGAATTAAAGTGGTTAACTAATGGCTTTAAAAATGTGGTGGCAACTATTAGTAAAATTTAAAATAAGTTGTGTATCCTCTGTAGCACTGGAGAAGATAGATGCAAATAAAATAGTTCAATAGCAAAAGAAAGAAAAAACCCCACAAGTGTTAAAGAATCATAAACGTCAATCCTGTGTACAAGGATTAATATGGAATTAATAAACTTTAGTATAGTAGTAAATAATCGATGAAACGCCTCTTGTAATAATAAGACTTCTAAGATTGGGTTAAAAAAAATCATTAAAAATGGGGGTTAAAGTAGTGATATTAGAGAAAATAAAAGAAGGCAAAGATAACAGACCAATTCAAACAAAAAGAAACATTATAATATTATTAGATGGAATAAAAATCAGGTTAAGAAAGCAGCAAATAAAGTGTCACTTTATGATTCACAATGAAGATCAGCCAGAGTAAAATATCGAACATTAAAAATATAGGAAAGGGGCTGGGGATTTAGCTCAGTGGCACCACACACCTGCCTAGCAAGCACAAGGTCCTGAGTTCAATCCCTGGTACTGGAAAAAAAATGTAGGAGAAAATGAAAGAGCACAATAGAAGTTTTACAGAGCAGTCTTTGACAGGTCAGAGTGACAAAAAATAAGGTCAAAAGATTAGAAATAATTAACATGGTTAATTTAATAGCAGTATTTGGAACTTTATATGTACAGATACACTACCATTTTAAGTATCTATCGAATATTTTCAGAAATTGATTAAATGCCAGTAGGAAGAAAATCCAGATAAACTGCCCAAACTACCTACATTTTCTGGTCCAATGAAACAAAGTTAGAAAGCAATGAAGAATGGTTATTAGAATTGAGATTTCTAAAGAAAAAGTCAATTTGCTAAATATTTTGGTTTAAAAATGAAATGAAACTGAGTGTGGTGGTAGATGCCTATACTCTCTGCTGGTTGGGAAGCTGAGGCAGGAGGATTGCAAGTGTGAGGTCAGTCTGGGCAAGATAGCAAGATCCTCTCTCAAATGAAAAGGGCTGGGGTTATAGCTCAGTGTTCCCTGGGTTCAATGTCTAGTACCAGAAAAATAAAACATAAAACAAAAAAAAAAACCAAGCTTGTAAGTAACAGACTTTGCATTTACAGTGATCATCTGTAATTAAACTTAGAATGTATCTAAAACTGAATTAAGAGAAAAAGACTAGAAGTTTTTATTATTAGAGAAGAAAGTGAAAATAATGGATCACTAAAGTCCAGAAGTTTCAAAAATAAAAACAACCTGGGAGAAATTAGGAAAAATAAACCAATAAAGATAAAAACACAAAGAAAAGAATTGAGAAATGGAAACAGAGGAATTCGAAAATATTTTAAAATCTATTCCTTAAAAATGCCAATAAAGTAGACCTCTGGTTGTTCTCAGCCTCCTTTGCCAGCTCTTCTTTCACTTAGACTTTAAATGTTAGCATTTCTACCTTGTGAATTTTGGTCTTTTAAGTCTCTTTTTACTTTTGTATTCTTTTTCTAAGTTGTGCCATCTGTGCTTCTGGTTATAAGCTGGGTTGAACTGTATATTTAGATCTCCATCCAGGTTTGTGCTAATAGCTCCAGACTTCCTCATCTGTCTTCTTGACATTTTACCTGACATTTGTAAAATGTCTTCCACCCCTAAAATGCTCTTCTCCCATAATTGTTCCCTTGTACAGGGCCTGGAGTCCCTGTTTTTTCACTTGAGTGGACCAGAAATGTGTGAGTTGCCTCCCTCCTGCCCTGTACCCAGTTAGTCACCAAGTCTCATGAGTTCATACGTTTTTCTTTGCTCATTAGAAATCCCGTGCCTGCTGCTCTATCTGGAATGTTTTTGCTTCCATGTCATCTACTACGTGGAGTCCTAATTTTTTTAAGGCCATGATCCCCTTTTATATCCTAGCAGGGCTATGAATAATGTTAAGTACATAAAAGAAAATACGTAAGATTACAAATAAGTCATATGTTGAAATACAGTTGGTAGGGGCTGGGGATTTAGCTCAGTGGTTCTGTCGCCTGCCTCACAAGCGCAAGGTTCCAAGTTCGATCCCCGGTACCAAAAAAAAAGAGAAAGAAATACAGTTGGTCATGTATATTCATAGTTTGTACTAGTACCTGTGCATTCAACTAACTGGATCAGTAAAATTGCATCTGTACTGAATACATAGATTTTTTTCCTCGCTATTATTCCCTAAACAATATATTACAAAAACTACACAGCATTTACATTGTATGAACTGATTTAAAGTAGACAGAAATATGTTCATATGTTATGTGCAAATGCTATGCTGTATTATATATCATAAGGAACTTTGGCAGCTGTAGGTTTTGATATTGTGGCGGGGGGCTAAAATCAATCCCCTGTACTAAGGGATGACTTATAATTTAAAATATTGAAAAAAAAATTTAATTTAGTAATTGTATTTCTTTATGATTACACTAATAGTACAATCTAGATTAGATTTCATAATACTGTATTACAGTGGTGCCTTGATTCATGAGCTTAATTTGTTCTATGATTTTGGAAAAGATGGCCACATTTGTGTTTGTGTGGGAAAGATGGTTGTGGTTCTGTTAGTTGCGGTTGTGTTGGTTGCAGTTGTGTTTGTCTCCCAATGCACAATCTGCAAACAAAAACAAAATTTTGACAGACACTTCTGTTTGTGATCCAAATTGTTTGCAAACAAAAGAATTCATGAACTGAGGTACCACTGTGCTTTCAAAGCAGTGATGAGTGTAAACAGTATTTTGAGATATGTGGAACAAATGCAATATCAAATGAAAAATACCTAGTTTTTATTGTGACAGTCATGAGTTTTGTTAATTTTACTTCATAGTTTGTTTCTACATTTATAAATTAAAGGTATGCTAAAATAATTCAATTTTTTGAAAAGTATAAAAAATAAAGAAAATAGAAAATAAAGAAAAAGTTTCCACAGCCAGGTTCAAAGAAACTCTGACTCTGTTAGTAAATACCAACAATTAAACATACTCTGTATTATTCTTACTTATCCTTAAGTTTCATTCCCAGTGCTGATTCTTCAGGAAGCCATTCTCAGATACTCAGACTAGATCACATTTCCCTGTTATATCCTTCTTTTTGGTACCAGGGATTGAACTCAGGACCTTGAGCTTGCCAGGCAGGCGCTGCTCTGCTGAGCTACATCCCTGGCCCTCCCTGTTAATATTCTTAATGTATTCCGTACTTTGATGTACAACACATCTCACAGTGGGTAATAGTACATTTGTGCACTGGTTAGCCTCCTCTATTCCCCACAACATTTGAAACTTCATGAAGACAGAGAAGGATCTATTAGTCACCATTTTTGTTTTTACTGCACATTGTAGATGCTTAGTAAATGTTTAGTGAATAAATAAATATTAGAAAAACCAGTTGGTTACATTAATAAGTAGGAAGAGAGCTTGGTATATTTCAGGGACTGAATGAGAAGGCCAGTGCCCATAACCATTTGTAGGGATGTGTAGTTGTAAGATATATGTAGCTATAGTCAGGATATATAGGAAAAGGCAAGTCACAGTAGCTAAGGAGCAGTTGGGCTAGGGAAAAGTTAGGGAATTGGAGTGTTCATGAAACAGAGAGAGAGAATACTGTAATGTTTATGGGTAGATGTGTTACCCTGTAGCCTCCACCCCTGTTGGTCATGCCATTACTATATTATTTAAAACATAATGGTCTTTGGTAACTGGCTCTTAAGGAGATAAGACTGAAGATTTTTGTTTGTGAAATGTTATAGTAAGATAAAACCTTATAATGTTTTAAATAATGCTCTTAACATGTCTGTATTTATATTAATTTTTCCCAGAATGTCACAGGTAGGTTAATGGTTGGCCTACGTTGGTGGAATCATATTGATGAGGATGGAAAGAGCCACTGGGTGTTTGAGTCCAGGAAGGTAAACAGCATTTTTTTAAATAGTGTCACCTGATGATGTGTGGATTACATTCTGAAATTTAAGAATAAAGTATTCAAGATTATAAGTACTATCCCACATCCCTTGCCATGCCAGTACTAAACCAGACAGTCTCCTAAAACTTAATACATTTTTCTGTTTAGTTTAAACTGGAAATAAAGTATATACAACACAGAATCCTCAGTAAGGAGGTTGGGTCAGAGTTTACACAGCATGCTAAACTGCCTATGCAGGGCTGCTGATAAAAGATCTCTTTCTGACAGCATGAGACTGCTTGCCTTGCTAGGTACTGTATCTCTGTGCATCTCTCTTTGTCCATCATATACTGTCTCCAGTTTCATTCTGTCTTTATTCCCATGGTCATCTTCCTCTGGTAGACAGGAAAAAGGATTGCCACTGGGTAGAAGGTCGAATTGATCTGTCTTTTCTTTAAACTGTGTCCTCAGGAGCCCAGGGGAGCCCAATCCTGTTTTGAATTAGCCTGCTACTCTGTGTGAACAGTCTGTTCCCCTATGACAGTGGTGGTGAACCTAGGGCATGCGTGCTGCAGTGGGCTGTTTATACCATTGAAAGCTCTAAAAAGTTTATCATCACTGCCCTGTGGGAATCAGTTTGGGAGGCAGAGTATTGGGAGCCCTTTAGAACCCCAAATACCTGTTGGGTGAAGGACAGGGAATAAAGGAGACAGAAACAATATTCAGTGTGCAATGAGGGACCAGGAGAAATCTATCTCTAGTGGATAGGCTTCCATGAACTCCATGGTGGCCCCACTTTTTGGTGTGGAACCAGGCATGGAACTCAGGAACTTACGCTTGCCAGGCAGGCGCAGCACCACTGAGCTACATCCCAGGCCCACTTTTATTTAGTCAACAAGGTGGCAGGGGAGGGGATAGTATACTATTCCAGGAACAGCAGCTGTAGTAAGTTTAGAATAGCAAGATAGGGACCAAGTTTAGCATCTCAAAGGGGAACAAGTTAAGGTCCTTTCTTAAACCAGGAGGTCTCCATTTTATATTACCCTCAGCAGAATGTTATCTTGCCTCTGGAGTGCTATGTTTATGGTTTTCTCACACAGGCGAGGCAGTTACACTTCTCTGTCCCCAAAGCAAATTAACGCGTGGGCTTCAGGACTGGAGGGCCTGTGATCTGGCCCCCACCAATCTATGCCTGTCCATGGCTGGTCCCCAACAGCAGAGGACAAAAATCTTGGAGATTTATTAATTACCAATTAATTAAATTATTTACTTTCTGCTTGGAAGTGCTTTGATCAGTAATGCTTCTTAGAAAGCAGCATTGCGCTCAGTGAGTTCATATTCCTTAATATAAAATCTTACTGGAAATAACTCATTTCCCTTGTAAATTCCTGGGTTTTGCTGAGACATTTAGGTCATTATTTAGAATCCTCTGATTCCATTTTTTTCCTTTGGATCTTGACATGACCATTTAAGATTCCAAGGTGTCTACATCCTTGGTTTACTTGATCCAGAAAGGCATCATTGAAAGCTTTCTTATGAATAAATAGTACAAGTTCATGAAGAATTGATTAGAAGCCTACCAGAGATTATTCTACTATTTTGAGACATGGTAAACTATCCATTCTGTCCTGAAAATGCAGTATTCTTGAGTTGGAGCAAAGCATAAAAAATAATTTCCTAATTAGTTTTGTTTTATTTTTTACTTGGCACTTGAGTTGTCTGTATTAATCTTAGAATTTGAGGGGAATGTGCGGTTTATTAGAAATGTTAAAAGTTTTACTGATAAAGCTCAAAACAGTGATGATGAGTTTATTTTTTATTTTGTAGGCAACTTCTCAAGAGAATAAAAGTGTTTCAGAGGCCGAATCAAGAATATTTTGGTTAGGACTTATTGCCTGTCCAGTGTTGTGGGTGATATTTGCCTTTAGTGCTCTCTTCTCCTTCAGAGTAAAGTGGTTGGTGAGTATCAGTGTAGAACTTTTTTTTGTATCTGTGTTTTGTTTTTGGTACTGGGGATTGAGCTCAGGACCTGGTGCTTGCGTGGCAGGTGTGGTGCCATTGAGCTAAATCCCTGGCCCTCAGTGTAGAACTTTTGAATAATCTGTTAAGATGTCTAATGGGTGATCATAATTAGTAAGTGTCTGTGTCCTTAACATTAAGGACTTACCCTTTTTTTTTGGTTAAAATCAGCCCATATTATACAGAAAAAAATGAGTTTCGTTTTGGCATATTGATACATGTACATAACATATTTTGATTATTTTCATCCCCCATTACTTCTTTGCTTTCTCTCCCCCTCCCCCAATCCCCTCCCTAATCTCATTTGTGGGTTTTTGTCTGTTACAGATTTATTTTAGTTTGTGTAATGATTATTTTAATAACATTAAGTAATGTACTTACACCCATTTATTGACTTACTGTTTAGAAAGGGACAGAAATAAACATGTATTTTTTTTCCTGTATTTCTTCCTTTTCTTGTTTATTCCAGTGTTATTTTTGTGTTATCAAGGTTTAGAACAACTGCTTTTTGAAATTACGTTTCTTGCTGGTTCTTCAGTCTTTGATCTAATTTTTTAATCACTTACCAGTCCAATTATTTAAATACAGGATGACAAAAATTTGCGTATTTTTTGATAGATTTTATAAGATAATGTAACAGGAAATATAAAAATGACAATTTTATCAAATTTATTCAATACAAGAATTGACTGATTGAAGTGACATGTTGCAAAGCAACACTCAGGATAGTCAGTACTTAAACGCACTGCCTGAAAGATGCTTGAGGTAAACTGTCAAGTGGTTAAGTACATTGATTCAGTGCCTTTTTATGAAAAAAAAATAGAATTTCATAATAAAATAATAAGAATAACAATGGTTAATACATTGTATCATCTTAAAAGTACTCAGTACAAGAGACAAAAAGATTCTCACAAAAAAGAAACAAATAGGTAATAGCACAAAACTTTTCAATGAACTAAAACTAGTAGTATAAATGAAATGAATTAGCATATACAAGTGCAAGGACCCCGAGTTTGATGCCTGGTACCCCCCCCAAAAAAAACAACAAAAAAAAGCTTCTAACATAAAGTACTTTTGAAACAACAGGATAGGTAATTTGGGGAATTCTTTGAACTTCTCTCTACTTCCTATTTATCTCTTTTCTAATTTGCCCTTTATTACAGCCTTTCCTTTTGTTGCATGGTCTGGGTTCATTCCAGTTCTGGGTGATACTTTTAGAAAGAACATGTAGATTTATGTTTCTTTGATTCTTTCATGCTTAAGAATAAGAGCCTTAAAAAAAAAAGAGTAAGAGCCTATTGGACTATTCTTTTTTTTTGGTACCAGTGATCGAACTTGGGACCTTGCGCTTGTGAGGCAGGTGGCGGAACCACTAAGCTAAATCCCTAGCCCTCGCTGTTGGACTATTCTTGAATATGACTGCACTGGTTTACTCTGTTATTTTCTTGTATTAAATGTTCTGGAGAAATCTGAGGCCAGGTTTTCCTGTGAATTGTTTTCCTCCCTGATGAATTCTTTTTAAAAATGTCATATGTCTTGAGTTTCCTGAAATCAGTCTCTTCTCAATATGTAGACTCAGGTTTTCCTCTGAGTCAGGAAAATTGGCTTCTGTTGTATCTTTAAGTTTGTTTATGTTTTCTATTTTCACTTGTCTAATTCTGAGGTACCAGTTGTTTCTGTGTTGGATCATTTATATCTGCCCTCATCCACTGTCTTCTAGTTCTTCTAGTTGCTTCAGTCTTTCAGCTTTTTTCTATTCATTCAATTTTTTGTTTTTTGTGTTTTTCAGTACTGGAGATTGAACCCAGGGAGCATTGAGCTATAGTCCCAGTTCTTTTTATTTTTTATTTTGAGACAAGGGCTCACTCAGTAGCTCAGGTTGGCCTCAAACCTGTGATCTTCCTGCCTCAGTCTCCTGAGCAGCTAAGATTTTAGGCTATACCATATACCTGGCTATTCCACAAATTTCTTTTTGGTACTAGGGCTCGAACTCATCACTTACACTGAACTACCTCCGCAGCCCAGAGTGCTGGAGTTACAGGGATGTGCCCCACATCTTGCAAAAATTTAGCAAAAAATTTTTTTAAGCTAGGAGAGTGTTCATTAGAAATAAAGGAAGAGAGCCAGGTGTGGTGGTGGATGCCTGTGATACCAGCACTTGGGAGGCTGAGGTGAGAAGATCACCATGAGTTCCAGGCAGTCCTGGGCTCCATTGGGAGTTCAAGGCCAACCTGGAATACATGTGAGATCCTGTCTCAAAAAAACAACAACAAACAACAACAACAACAAACAAAAAAAGAAAAGAAAAGACAAAAGAAATACAGGAACAGAAATAGCTCCCATTTAGGAGGTGTCCTAAGTGTGTTACGATGTGTCCCCTCTATCCAGAGTTTATGGATTAGCAAAGCACAGAAAATGCTCAGTTGTTTAGTGGTCACCTGCCACAGGTGGTTTGTATGTAAAATGACCTATTGAAATTCAGGCTCTCTAGTGGGTTACTCAGCATGTAGGGTTTAAAGGAAACTGGAGTTTTAAAGAAAAACTGGTTATTTTGCCTTTTACATTCCTGGAAACTCAGAAACTTAGTAGGAGGGGCAGTGATTCCCTGTAGTAGGGCAAGGCTGCTTTCCACACCTGAGGAAGTTAATCCTTGGTCCAAAGTCCTAATTCACTTCCCCTTCTTACTTTAATTCTTAGCAGTGTGGCTGATCATCCAACTCTATCTCAAGCCATTTCCCTAGCTAGCTGCCTATTCATAAGTTAACTAACTGAACTTTTTTGTTTCCCTGCTCCTGAAGTATCCTTAACTGCCCTTAGGGAAGAAGGGACAAGACCAAATTTAGCTACTTATTCCTGGAGGGGATCAGCATAGGGGGCAGCGGTCAGAGATTTTCTCCAGAGAGCTAAAGGGCCTTCAGTCGGAGTCGTGTTGGGATTCAGCAGTTATGTACCCTCTTGAGAGGGTTGATCTTGGTAGGAGTCTGAGCACATTCATCATTGGCTCCATCTGCCTGACCATCTGGAGTTTGACAGCCTCTAGGCAGGAAGAAAAAATTTTACCAAGAGATTAAGAATACATGGTCCAGGGCAGAGGATTTAGCTCAGTGGTTCCGCTGCCTGCCTTGCAAGCGCAGTCCTAAGTTCCATCCCTGGTACCAAAAACAAAACAAAACAAAACAAAAGAATACATGGTCCAAACATAAGAACTAGAATGAGAAGACACATTGGGGTGATTAAAGGAAGGCGCCAAGTCCAGAACTGTTCTTAAGGGATTGAAGTAGGGGTTGTAACCAATTGGGTCCTAGGCCTTCCTGCTCATGGATGTTGTCTGTAAATGTGATATTTCTTTTTATGATTTTCAGGTCTTCTACCTGATGTAAATTATTTATCCAAAGACAAGAAGTTTGATTTATGAATGTGCAAATTCCTCTGGTTTTGGCTGTGAGGAAATGGAGGGCTCTGTGCTTTAAAGGACTATTTCAGCTAAGAAATTTAAAGGCTCTTGGAGTGCCTCTACAGCTGCCACTGTGGCTTTCCAGCCTTGTTGAACCATAATAGTGAGATTTAGGACTGATTTTTTTAATAGGGGTGTGCTTAATAACCACAAGAGTCTCCTGGCAATTCTATATCCCATATCTGGTCTCCTAATATAGGGTTATCATATGCGTGTCCACCCCAATCCCATTTTCCTGTCCTTCCTAAGAGGGTATATTGGATGTGTCTTTTTTAATGCCATTATTAGCAGAGAATGCTCCACAGAGCACCTTAGCTTTGAGGATCTGGCCTGAAGAGTTCGTCTCTGGACTTAGTACCTTAATCTTTGGAATAGATGCTGCTACAGTACAGGCCCCTTCCACTTATAGCACAGCACTATATATACGTTTGTTCTGCATAAAAAATAAAATCTACTTCCCTCAAGGAAAGGGCCCCCAAGTATCCCCAGGGGATAGAACATTCTACTTGTTGAGTTTTTGGGGCCCTCTATATTAAAACAATCGCGGGAAGAATACACCTTTGACAATCCCAGTTGATCTCTCTGTTAGTATTCTCATGGGACAGGTCCATTAAAATTACAATGTTTGCATGCAGAGTGGTTAGGGTTATGAGAGCAAACTGAACCTCAGCACCAGAAGAGCTTTGAGAGGAAGTTTCCAGGGAGAGAGGCATAGAGGGATTGGCTGCAGATACCCTGAGTTATAACAGTCCCGGTGTGTTGCCATATAAGTAGGGAAAAATTAAAGGAGCTCTTAAGTGGATGCCAGGTATCCGAACAATTGGTTAATTCCTGGCAACTGGGGGTGGTGGTAGTGGTGGTGAAGTCCTGGAACTCCTTCCAGTGGATTTTAAGGACCAGGATTGTGATACATCAGGGGCCGATACTGAATCCTCCCTGACAGCTCTTCCATTAAAGGGTTTTTTTTGGTACCGGGGATCAAACTCAGGTCCTTGTGCTTGCGCAGCAGGCAGCGAAACCACTGAGCTAAATCCCTGGCTCTCCATTAAAGGTTTTACTGTTTTTTTATACAGCCAGGTGCTGTATAAGGTAATGTTAAGAATTTAGGGAATCACCATCCTACCCAAGAGGATCCTTTATGTGACTGAGTGCAGAGGAAAGCATTTCCTTGTAACTCAACCACCTGTCCTACTCTGATTTTTGCTTTATCACCCAAGGGAGCCCTGTGTTACCATCCTGTTTAGGAATAAAAATGCCAGGACTCATTGACAGTAGTGATCTATTCAAGGGAAAAAAGCAAAACTAAAGTGGGATTGTGGGTTCAGTTCTCCCTTGTGAGCATATTCAACAATTAGAATAATTTCCTTCAGCAAGTATGTTATGAGTCACCATATAGCTGGGCATGGTGGGACACACTTGTAATCCCAGCACTCTGGGAGGCTGAGGCAGGGGGATCACAAGTTTCAGTCCAGCCTGGGAAACTCAGCAACTTAGTGAGACTCTGTCTCAAAAATAAAAAATATAAAAGGGCTTGGGAGGTAGCTCATTGTGAAGGTGATGCATTCAATCCCCCGTAGCCCCCTGCCCTCCAAGAGTTCACTATAGGTCTGAGTTGTTTTGGTCCCTGGAGATTGCAGTGGCCTGATGAACAAGATAACTGCTCTTAAGGAGCTTATGTTCTAGTGAAAGGTTGACAGGCAACAAAAAAATGCAGTAGAGAATGTTAGATAATGGTACTGGACCATGGAGTAGGTAGAGTACACAGTGACAACTAGTTCCTTTTAGTATAGGGGTCAGCAAAGGCTTCTCTGTATTTTATTAGTTCTGCTACCTCCATTTTTCATCTCCTGTTGCCTTAGTTTACCTTCATGCTCTTCAAATTTTTATCTTCAGATTCTTCTATAGGATGAACTATTTGCAGGAATGCTTTTATTTTGGTGGGTTATTCTTTCAAAATAGATTCTTCACCTTTGTATAAATGTGTCCTTTCATATTGTCTTTTTTTTCCCTGTAGTTTTTTTTTTTTTTTTGGTGCTGGGGATCCAACTTGGGTCCTTGTGCTTGCGCAGCAGGCAGCGAAACCACTAAGCTAAATTCCCTGGCCCTTTCCTGTAGTTTTGAAGAGGTAACTTTTGCTTTTTCCTGCCCATTCAGCTCTGTCCATACCTTCTCTTTCTGCAGCCTTAGTGTGGGTGAGTTCTTCTCAACACCTTTCTGTGTTGCCTGAGGTGGCCTGAAGATGCAGGTGTAAGGAGAACTTAACTGGTCCTGCGTGACCCAACTGGCTTGATTGCGTTTTGCCTTTTATGGAGTAGGGTTCTTATCTCCTTGTTGGCTGTGACCCGTGTTCTGGGTCTATGCACTTGTTTTAGGTTGTTTGAAGACTCTGGAGCTTTAGCATCCATCCAGTAGCATCAGCCCAGTCTTGCTCTAGCAGTGCTTCCATTTCCCCAGAACAAAACAGGAAAGGCAATTTGGTCCCATGTTAAGACCATAGAACAAAGTTGGAGGCTTTACCCAGGCTCTCTCTGAGCCAGTTTTTCCCCTCTGGGTTCTGGTCTCATGATTGTGGGTCCTCCTGTACTCCCTCCACTGCCTTCTTCCTATCAGGGAGGTAATACTACAGCCAGCTGCGGGGATTTTCCTCCCTGGTTGGGAGATTCTTTGTGTATTTTCTCTTAGGATTGTTTCTGTCCTTTGGCCTTCTGCTTCTGAGTTGTTGGGGCTGGTAATTATTACTGTAATTTCTCTTAGTGCTTCTGTGGAGTTGCACCAAGCTGGCTCTTTTGCTGACCACCAGCCCTTTTTTGTGTTCATTGGCACTGGCTGATGGGCCTTTTAAAAATACCTGTTTGCTATCTGTATCTTAAGAGGAGGCAAATCTTCATATTTGACTTTACTATACCATCTTAAACCAGAAGTCTGCTTTAGGTTTTAACTTATAAGTACATTTTAAAATTTGTTGCCATTGAATAAAATGGATTCCTCAGCAGGATCCATGCTCAGTCTGTGAATTCAGCCACCCCTACCATGTTGGTACATACATACCCAGGAGCACCCTGATTTCAGAAGCAAGGAAAGTTAAAGGAGACTTACTTAAAGAAAAATACAGTCTTATCTTTACTTAGGTAACTAGCAACCTTATATGATGCTAACATATTTATTGCCAAAAAAAAATGTAAGTTTAAAACACAAAGTAGCAGCTCTGCTTCTTTTACCCAGCATTTGAACCAGTTCATTATTTAAATATTTAAATCCTCGGATTTGCTTAAAAACAGCTGTATAGCTTGTTAAGGGTTAAAGAGAAATGGAAAAAATTGTTTAACTGTATTGCTTTTCACAAATGAAATTATTTCCTGAATAATACTTTTAATAGTAGGAGTTTTAAGAGCTGTTTGTTGTAGAACAGGAGTTGACAAACTAAGCACTTTAGGCCATATCCAGCCCAATGCCTGATTTTTTACTGAAACATGGCCTTACCCATTTGTTTACTGTTGTCTGTGACTGTTTTGGGGCTAGAATGGTAGAACTGAGTAATGATAACAGACCGTACGGCTCATGCATTCTAAAATACTTATTATCTAGTCCTTTTATAGAAAAATCTCTAGAACAGTTTAACTTTGGGACTGTCTCACATTGTCCTAATTGTTCTCCTGTAATATTTAAGGAATGGGCTTGAGTTATTATTCCTCATGTCCGGCTGCTCTTTATAGGGTCACTGCAGGTTTCCTGATGTGGCAGTAAGAAATAAGCAGCTCCTGAGAAGTATACATCTTCCTTTGCTCATCTGGGACCTCACAGAAGGCACACCCTGTTGGTTGCTGCCTTAGGGCACTTAGTTAGGCACCTTGCTTTCCCAGGAGCCAACTGTTACAGGCACGTTAGCATAGGGCAGAGATTTACCTCTGCCTGCTGTCAGTTTATTGTACTTGACTACCATTCTTTTAAAATTTTAACCATTGTTTTATAATTGGTAGAGGAATAATTAACATTTGAGTCTTTCCTAAACCTCACTTTTCCTTATGTTTACTCATAAACCCATGGGAAGCAGAGAGAGAAAGTTCTTCCATCAGTGTATTCTCCAGGGCTAGCATGATGCCTGGAATATGTGGCAGTTATGGTCAGTAAATGAATCAGTGCCTAGAACAGACATATATCATATAGGGCTCTCTGGCAAGTTAAGAAGTCTCACTGGCATAATCTCTGTTCTGTAGAGGCTCCTTTTTTCCTTCTCTTTCTCACCAGGGTCTGCCTGTTTTTTTCCTGGTCCCAGGCGGTGGTTATCATGGGTGTGGTGCTACAAGGTGCCAACCTGTATGGTTACATCAGGTGTAAGGTGGGCAGCAGGAAGAATTTAACCAGCATGGCTACCTCATATCTCGGGAAGCAGTTTTTAAGACAAGTAAGTATTTTCTGGATGTTATTGATGAACAATGAATGATTTCTCTTTTAGAGTTTTAATTTTTCTGAAATGCTTCTAAACAAAATTTTAAAGGGTATGTCATTATTTATAAGTATGGGATTATGATGATGTTTTAATTGCTCTTTGTAGGCTTTTGGGACATTCCAGAAATATATTACCAGTATACTAAAATTATTTTAAAACCAAGAGAGATGAATTACCATTGATAATAATCACATTTTAAAAAAATTACCTTAAGTGCAATTGCTTTCCGTTAATTAGGGTAGCTTTAAATGGGTGTTCTTTTTTTTCTTTTTTCTTTTTTTTTTGTACTGGGGATCGAACTCAGGACTTCACGCTTGCCAGGCAGGCACTGTGCCGCTGAGCTAAATTCCCGGCTAAATGGGTGTTCTTAAGGAATGTATATTGTATGGTTTTAGGGTTTATAGGAAGAACGGAACAAATTGAAAAATAAGACCTTATCATTGAGGATTGTTTTCAAATACTCTGGTGGTTTTTCCTCTCCTAGAACACAAAAGTTTAAACAGTTTCTCAATGAGAGTATAAATCAGGGTTTTTAGTGGGATAAGTGGAATGGTTATAGGTAAGCAGTTACTGATTAAATCTCTTGGGAAAGTTGACTAGGACTTTATATGAGTAACATCTCACATTTGTTCAGTGCAGTAGGTTATATAGGACAGTAGTTCTCAAATTCCAACATACATCAGAATCACCTTGAGGGCACAAGATTTCTGGGCTTTATGTCCAAGGTTTCCTGTTCAGTAGATCCTGGGGTTGGAGTCTTATAATTAACATTTTTAGCAGGTTTTTGGTCCAAAGATTACACTTCAGATAACTAAAGCCCTGAGAGAGTAAGTGATTTACTTAAAAATATAAAGCTGGTAGATGGTACCAAACTAGGGCTTGAATCCAATCCTTTGCACTAGAAATTCATTGTTCTTTCTGTTCTAGAGTTTTGTTTTGTTTTGTTTTGTTTTGTTTTTAATTAATAGACAGAGGTAGAAAAGACAAATACTCTTGTAGGGTTGTGATTCTCAGCCTCAAGGATTTGTGCACAGCCTTAATATACTTCTGTTGTGACCCACCTTTAGGTAATTTTATTGTTTGTGCCTGTGTGTGTGCTTAGGACTCTAGTGTTTCTGGAGGTGGGAGAGACACTAAATACAGGTGAAATTGGACCTTGAACCTGGCATATCATGGATAGGGTTAGTATCATATATGGTACCTGCCGATGTTCTGCCCAGTGAGAGAAGCTAGACATCTGAGTAGATGATGGCATCCAAAGATTTACTTCAGCGTGTCTACTTATTAACGTGACTGTAAAATACAGAAGCAGGCTGTGCTTACAGATGCAGAATGTTTTCCTAGGTTTAGTGATTTGAAGTCTGTGTTATATGAAGTGAAATAATTTTGGGTATTAAGGAGTGTTTTTCTCATTTGCAGAACACTGGAGATGACCAGACTTCCTGAGTAGAGAGAAAGCTTATGTGTTCTGTTACCTTGGGGAACAATTGAAGAGATTCTTGACTCTGAACTGTTTAGAGCTCCATTCATTTTACAAGGAAGAGTGTTGGGTTTGTTTTTCTGCTTAAAAACTTTATTAAAAAAAGGAAATAGGTTCATATTATTTTTATTTTCTTTCTAGTGGTTGAGGCTAGAGAGTATAATATCATCAGAAACATTGTCAGAATGTGTGTATGGACAACCATGTAATAGCAGTATATCCCAAGTTAATGTGTTCATTTACATATGTAACAGATCTTTACATTTTGATCCATAGCACTTAGGACCATGTTCTTAGTGTGTTTCATAGTTCTGTGTGTTTACATATTATTTCTATAGATTATTTTCAGAAGTAAGGCTATTTTTTTGGGGTGGGAGGGCAGTACCGGGGATTGAACTCAGGACCTCACACTTTCCAGGCAGGTGCTGTGCTGCTGAGCTACTTCCCCAGCCCAGAAGTAAGTTTTGATTCTTTGTAAAAGTGAGCACTTTGGCTTATATATGAGTTAGAAAAGTTAGAAATAATTGTTCATTTTTAATATGTACTTTATGGTGAAATTTCTTATCTAAGAAATACAAATAGGTAAAAACAAAATTCAGGCCAGTAGTGTTGACTAGTTTCTAAAATTATATTTTTATCTTGAGGCCAATAATATACAAACAGAATGTTCATAGTTTATGTTTAAGGTATACCTAGGGATTGCTGCTGTTTTATTTATTTTAGGGAAAGGATAGTGAGATTTTACTTTGGAAATCCCTGGAAGCCTTTCAGTGGTCTTTGGACTGACTAATAAATCTTACTTTTACCACTAAAAGAATATTATTATTATGGTAATGAGAATAATCTTTTGAATACCTGGCATAATAAATGCCTAAAAGACATTTTGTTTTATGAATCTATTTTTTTTTCTGCTGTAATGAGGATATTGTAAATCATACATTTGTATTAATGGTATTTCTTAAAGCAATATATGTAACTAAACTAAACTGATCTACAAACTGTAGGCATCTGTAAATTCTGTTGTAGGTACTATAAACTTCATTGGAGTCTTAATGGGGGCAGATTATGTTGTGACTGTATTATTAAAATACATTGTCAAAATATTTTAGATGTTTTGTTAAATTGAATAAGTGTTTATTTGAGTAGTAACTTGGAAAGTGCATAACTTTAAATTTGTATAAAGCTCTATTGTTTACAAAGCATTTGATGTGTGTAAATCTCATTTGGCCTCCACAAAAACTATCTGATGCCTTAGATGAGGACCTTTCAGCTATTGAACAACTTGTCCAGGGAAATATAGGTCACAGAATATCTGTAATATAAACAGGACGTATAACTATTTTTAAAGAAAATATTTGTCTCCAATGTCTTTTCCTTCCTTTAGAATCATTAATTTATTAAGTATTTATTTGCCATTTTACTCTATCTGGGAGAAAAGTTGGTAATGCATTAGAGGAATGTTTTTAATTAGTTTGAAAGATGTAACCTGTTTATTTAGGGTTGGGAGTCTAACAGGGAGGGATGCATTGGAACAGTTGGCAAGTTAACTATGTTACTTGAATCTATAGTCCTAAACCAAATATGACTTGAAGTTTGGACTTTGCATCTGGCAGGATCTGGTACTTAAGAACAAGAATGGGAGGCATCCTCATCCCCTCCCTGCTTTTCCTTCTTCCTGCTGGCTGAAATGTAGACACAGTAGCCGGAGCTGGGCCATCATGGAGGTCTCGTTTTGTGAATGGCAGAGAAATGAGGTAGAGATTGTCTGAATCCCATCTGGTGGGTAGAACGGCCCTGAACTTCCTATCTGAACTTTTACATGAGAGAGAAGCAAACATCCACCCTGTTTGTTACTGCTTTGGCTTTTCTTCTTCATAGCCTAACTGAATTATTATCAATATAATACACTTTGAGCATCACCCATAGTCCTTCCCTTTAGTTCAGCGTTTGAGATGTAATAATTTAGTTAGGATTCACTTACTATTTAATCTTTTTTCTATGTAGTAACTATGTGACCATTATAGGTGCTAGTAAGTTCTACTGTTCAGATGCTGTTGCTGCATAAAAATTCACCCCAAAAGTTACCGATATGAAATAGTCATTTTATCTAAATGCTCAGAAACTCTGAGATAGAAACTTGAGTGGAGTACAGAGGGGACAGCTTTTTTTCTGCTGAACAGTGTCTGGGACTCAGGAAGACTTGAAGGCTGGGTTTGACACTTAAGATGTCTTCAGCTTCAGGCTTGGAGGTTGGCACAGGCTGTCCTCTGGGGCCTCACCCAAGCAGCTGGTCAGAATGCCTGCAGTGTGATCTCGGTGTGGAGTTTCTCCATGTGAGCTCATGTGGGCTTCTTCACGACCTTGTCTTGGGTTCTCACAGTGGACCTCCCAAGGGGACAGAAGTGCATGATATTTTTATGACTGGTCCTGGAATTCACATCACATCTCTTCTGACATACTCTGTTGGACAGAGCAGTCACCAGGTTCAAGGAGAGGGTATATAGACCCACCACTTGATGAGTGTTAAGATTATAGTTAAAAAAATTAAGGGTATATGGGATATAAATAGTGCTGTGGCCATCTTTAGGAAACAAAATTTACCCTACTTACTTTTAATTTCATTGCAATTGAAAAAAATTATTTGGAGGAGACTGAGGGAAGTAAGTAAGTTTTTAATCTACCATAGGTCAGCCTCAGCTTTAGAGGAATTAACTAGAAGGTCCAGTTAAAATGAAGGCAACATCGCATTCCATAGCCAACAGTGTGTAGTTTTTGACCCACCTCTGAATAAATAAGTGGGTAGAGGTGAAGGCATAGTAATTCCACCATAGTGTAGGTGTTATATTCCTTTAGAGTCTGTATATTCTTAGAGCTTACCACAGTTCTTTTATGTCTTATCTCATTTGACTCTCCTCATAACCTCAAGAGGGAGGGCCATTTTATGTACCATGTAATACCATGTTACAGATGTGTAACTATGGTTGAGAGAAGTAAATTAATCTATTAAAGACTGTAGTAGAAAGAGTAGTGCTTACCAGGTATTCCCTTTGTTCTAGTTGAGGTTGTGTTGCTAGCTGTGGCCAATGAAAGGTGAATGGAAATGACTCGTCTTTTGCGTGAAGAAAGCGAAGCTCTGATGTGAGATTTTTGTGGCAACCACTGGTGGTCAGGGTGTTAGAGGTGTTAGTTGAGTGTTGATGAGTGATCGGTCAGCTAGGGAGTTGGGTGACTTGTAAAACAGAATCCCTCTACCTATTCCAATTAGACATACTGCTGCCAGTCTTAACTCTGCCATTTTTAATCTCCACATCTGTTTTTCCAGAAGAAGAAAAGATGGTCTTTCCTTTTGCCTCAGAGAAAAAGACTTTCTCAGAAATTACAGTAGACTTTGCTTCTACTTTCATGTCTGTGGTCAGGTATTTGGGTAGACACTGCTGTCTTGAGTAAATGAGATTTTGCTATTAAGGTAAAGGGG